AAACAAAAAAGGCAGCTCTGCATCAAAAAATGTAACCAATAAAGTAGAAAAATCTTATTGAAGGATATCTGAGTCACAGAGCTACAAGGTCCTGATTTATTGATGATACAAAACCAGTCAGACTCATCACTGATACTACAATTTCAGTAGACACATGATTCAGCTACACAACCAAAACATAGAATTTATTACATTTTCTTGCCCTTATTGACATAACCTTTTTCTGTTCATGTGGAATTTCACACTGTAAAATCTCACTGTCAACAGATTGAAGACAATTAAGAATATTCCTTCCTTGCTTCTCTGTTGTATATTCTAAAAAGGATAGTGTAGTCCCATACTACGCTCTCTTCTGTCAGCATTAATCTTGAGCTGGAATGTGTATATAGCTCGTTTTGACCTCAGCCATACTATCTTTTTTGCAATGTTAGAGTTGTTTTTGAAGATCCAGAATGAAAATATGGACTACATCTGGGGACAACAAATTTCACCCATTTGAGGAGCGAGCAAACCAAGGAAAATGACAGATGGAGGGGAACTGCGTTGGTGTTAATAAACTGTACATGCTGCTCTGTTTAGTACACAACAGTTCAGAGTACAGTTTTCAGACTGCAAGCCTGGCTTCCCTGGGGACATTCAAAGCAAGCCTGGGGAAAGGAGGGGGAAAAAAATTATTACTTTGCTTAACCACTTCCACTTATAATTCAGTACAAGTCAAACTGCTGGCAGTTCATGGAATATTCAGGGAAGGTTTCTTTTTTTGCCAGGATCCAAAATGGTAATGATTCTGCAAGTAGGAAAACTGCCCTGTTGTAATATTTAACTATCAGAGTTCCGACTCTGGTAATATGGGGGAAGGAAGAGGCAGAAAACTATACTCTCCCTTGAAAACGCTTGTGTGAGAAGTAATGGCAAAACGGTTATAAAGATTCCTGTGGTGCTTTGAAGTGAATGTTAAGACATTTACCCTTGATATATTAATAAATTCCTAGCTCTCTTCCATATTCTTCCATTTTCTTCTGACATTAAATGAGACATTTTGACCCAAAGGATTGTGTAATATTATCGTATGTTATTAAAGAAGAGATTAGATATTAGAGAAGTGATCTCACAAAAATGGGGAAGTGATTCCTATGTATTACTTACCTTCATCACAAGAGGGTGATAAGGCTTTACTAGTAAATTACCTTAACATCCTGAATGAGAGATGTTATAGGAAAACACAGAAATGTATGTTTATTACTGTGCCCTGGTAATAATCATTGATCCTAGGGGTTTATTTTAACCCTCTTGTTTAATTTAGGATCATTATAGTCTCCTGTATTGTGAGCTGCAATATTTAAAACCTCATTACACCTATGACCTTGCAGTTAACCTGTTAGCTCACTGTTTCCTTGCCTGTGGTAGGTCTGGAAGCAAAGGATTTAAGCACTGGAGGTCACTGTATTATTATTGCAACATTCAGCCAGCTGTACACAACCCCACCATACCTCGCATGAAGGAAAAATGCAGAGAGCCAAGATCAAGACAGAGACGAAGGCTGCATGTAAGCATGAATGTGTCTGTCTTGTTGCTGTTGTGGGCAGTCCTACCAATGCCCTGTTATTCACCATATTCAAGGAAAACAGCCTAGAATCTGACCAGGCAGTAGAGCCACATACCTGGAAAAGACTACAGACCTGACCATAGGCAGAATACACATTTTGGGAGGGACTTATGGTTTAAGGCTCTTCAGAAACTTTGTGTGATGTTTGGTGACAATGCATATACCATCTTTATTAAATATCGATGGTTTTCAATCTCCTCACATTTCAATAGCTTACTATTTTCCATTATGTTTCAGTCTTGTTTACTACAGAGAACAAGTGAACAGTGATTTAAATGTTCTTGAAATTCACCCAAACACCATTTAAAAGCTGTGATTTCTTAAAAGGATTGTATTACTCCCACAATTAGAGCCAATGAAACATCGTTCTGTCAGTCCATGACAATAAGCATATATGATTGGAGAATAACTTACGGTGTAATAGTCCTCTGCCTGGGCCCTTCACAAGCCTTAGCTCAACTCTGCCTGAGACAGCAGTACACAGCAGTAGAAATTGCCCTAGTGAGAATGTGATCATCCTACCCCACAGAGTAGCCGATACACAGCACAAGTCATGGCTATGGTAATCAACCACCCTTCAAAAATCTTGAAATCTTGAGGCATCTTTGTGCATTATGACAAAATCCAGTGGCTGTTCCCATCAGTTTGGGTTTGAGGCAATGACGACTGAAAGACAAGAGTGTGTAACAATGATATGAATGGGAGCAATGTTTTATCTGAAGCATTATGTACGATAATAAAGGTGTAAAGGAGCAGCCCATGTTTATTCGTGGCTGATTGCTTAATGGCAAACCTTACCACTAAGCTGAAGCTGACAGAAATCTGAAATCAGAATTTCCTGCAACCCCTTGGTAGTCATAAGCTCTGCATGACTTGTACTGGCTCCTCTGTAACCTCTCCCCAGTACTGCAGGTGTGCAGGGAGTAACTGCTGAGGCAAGCATGTTCATGGCTCAGAGGTACCTTTGGTATAACGGGTACCATAATCCTAAAATTAGCCAGTTTTTATCTTAGATATGGCAGTGACAAATTTTACAACATGTCACAAATCAACTACTACTTTGTTTTTCACATTTTCAGGTAACTTTTCTTTATTCTGCAAAAATGCCAGAACAGTTTTGTAGCCTGTGAAATATTGTTCTTGTGTTTTGATCCTTTGGCATGTGTCATTACAAAGTGTCACCGTAATATGCAGCCACTGCTTTATTTAGAACATACATAGGTGTGGAAAACATCCACACCCTGAGGCACTACACCTCACCCTCAAGCCCTGCCAGCAGCCCTGCCAAGGCCATCACAGCATACAACCAACTTGTCTTCAGGTTGCAACTGCACTTCATAACCCAACAATGCTGCTCTACATATACAATGATTCACCAAATTATCCACCCACAACTATGAAGAGAAAGGGGTGGGAATATGAACTTTCTTCATTGTTTCTCATGGTTATAAGGGTTAACCAAACACCCATGTGGAATGATCAGCTTTGGTAACTGTAAGACATTTAAACTGAGATAGTGTGAATTTGGGAAAATCACAGTGACGCTGAGACATTACCTATATATCTTTTCCGGAAGAGCAAGAGGCTGAGGCGACAGAGTGCAAGAGGATAAGCAAGGGGTTAATGCAGGTTTAGTAGTGCCATTATGACTGGTCATGAGGGGTCATGAGTTTCTGTTGCTAGAAGGCTTTTCTGTGACTGTGCATCTATGCATGCAGGCTATATTCAGCGTTGTTGCCTGTTTAAAAAAAAATGGCAGAGCTAGCTAAATAAGCCTCTACCGGACAGGAGGTAGAAGTGATAGAACTGGGCTAGGAAATCAGCAGTCATGGACATGTATAGTAACTGCTGAGCAACAGATATGCACAGTTCTGGCCATCCAGAGGCACCAGTGTCTTTTCATCCTGACACACCAGTTTCTAGACAGATTTGGGTTGCTCGGCCACTCTTACCTCAGCACGCAACCAGCAGCGAGCGTCAGAGAAGGGCCACGAGCAGGACAGGCTGTCTGCAAAAGAAGAGGGACAAGGGGAATGAGAGTGCTGTGGCTCTGTGAGTCACGGCATGCAATCGTTCATCTCTCAGTACGTGCAGTGTGAGGACAGGCTTTCCTGTCATCCACAGCAGTGTCCCTAGCCCTGCTGTAATGAATCTTGCCAGCCATCCATGGGACAGGAGGTGGGACACCCAGCAGTCGCTGGAGGGTGAGTGTGGTATCATGGCCAGCCTGGTAAATGGCGAATCAGCCTCTCCAGACGAGGACCAAATATGCTCCCTCTCAGGGACCTGCAAAAGCACTCAGCACAAGGGCTTTTACTGTAACAGGAGTTGGCAATTTGAAGAAACACACAACTTGAATTCAAGGTTCATGTATGGTATGTTCATGAAGATTAACCAAGTTTAAACTTATGCTCATAAGCCAAATGCAGCATGCACCGAGAAAAACACATTATTCTGTTGCATTTATGTCAGAAGGATATTACTGTTTTCTCTAATAGAAGCAAGCAATGAAACACTTGACTCGTGCCGGCACCCTTCATATTAAAAAGGATTTATTATTGTAATGCCTAAATCTTGTGGAGGACAGCTTAAGGGCACGCCTCCCACACAAGGACCTTAAAGATTCAGAAGCCAACAAGGCAGATTTTTTTTTTTAAATTCCACAAGTTATGACTGAAAAGAGGACGAAACCTCCGCCCCCCGGCGAGCACGCTCCCCCCAGGGTTAGCCGGAGGCAGCCACACGCCCCTCGCTCCAGAAAGCCGGGACAGGGCAGCACAGTAACGGCTCCTTCGCCCAGCCAGCGGCCTGCCTCCTCCCACGACTCGCACCCCCTCGGCGGGCAGCAGGGCCCAGCAGCCCGGGCACCCCGCCCCGCCTCCTTGAGGAGGATGGGAGGCTGCGCCCGCACTCAAGATGGCTGCCCGCCTCCAGTGTCTCAGACGGGCTTTGAAGCCACAGAGCTGCTGGTTAAGATGGCGGCTCCTTACCTCCGGCCTACGCGGAGCTTGCCCTCGGCCAACATGGCTGCCGCGCCACTATTACTTCCGACGGTAGTGAAGCCTGCTTGCCCTCAGTTAAAATGGTGGCATTCAGTATGCGGCGGAGCGTGCTGGCGAGGCTGCTGTGGTGAGGGGACGGGGCGCGGGGCTGGGCTGGCGGCGGGGTCTGAGCGAGTAGCCGGGAGAGGGGAGGCGAGCGGAGGGGAGGGGAGGCTGCGCCCGCCGCCAGCGGAGGGTAGGAGGCTCCCCGCAGCGCGGCCGCCTGTGCGGAGCTGGGCGCCTGCCGGGCTGAGCGGCCGGCCGTGAAATGGTGGGTCGGGGTCTGGCCGGTGCCGCGGCAGGGGTCTGTGGGCTCGGCCGGGGTTTGGGCAGGGCGTGGGGACGGTGGGGTGCACCTCTGGCCCGCCGCGGGGAGGGAGCCCGCGGACGGCGAGACTCCAGCCCGTTGTGTCCCGGGAAAAGCAGCGTGGCCGAGGGCGGGATGGCTCCTGCCGCCCTCGGTTCCCTGAGAGCCGTTGGCGCCTCTGCGAGAAACAGCGTTTGTGGGTTGTAGGAATTTCTACCGATGCAGTGAATTAGTTGTGAGTGGCCTAGTAAGGTTTTTTTCAGTGGAAAATATGAAATAATCCAATTCTGTTTTCTTCTCTCTGCAGTAGAAGTAGCTAATTCTTTATTTAAATTATAAAGGAATGTTTCTATTCAAGATTTATAAGATGGTTAAGTATTTGGCATAACCAGGAAACTGAAAATCAAAGGTGAAGTCCTTGCCAGTTATTAACTCTGCAGACAATTACCTGTGTGTAAACTTAATGCCCCGCATGGAAGCTATGTGGAGCTGTTTGTCAGCTGCTATCAGGATCAAGTCATAAAGTTGTTTCTGCCTGCTGTTCATGTACTAGCAACATTTAAAAACACTAATTTGACATGCATATGCATGTCAGTGCCATAAGAAGGGTAGAAACTACTGTCTTAAGTTGTTCTCATAAATTATAGAAGTTGCTTTACCAGTGATGATCTGACTGTCTTCTCTTGACAGATGCACCTTGATGGTAAACAGCATCTGTTTTCCATGTGGAAACAAATGTACAGGTTGAATAATCAGCTCCTGACATGACTTCTCTTCAGAACTCAATTTTTTTGCCTATACTTCTAATGTGACACTTCGCCAGAGGGACTTTTGAGAGTTTCTCAGTACTGTTTTTACCAGATAAACAGAGGTCATAGTCATCATTGCTGTTATGTCCTGGGTACAAGTTGCAGTTAGCCAATCCAGTGAGGATATATTTGATGAAGATGCAGATGAGATGTATCTACTACAGAAAGAATGGAACAGCACCATGAAAAAAAGATTGAAGGTATTTCTATAACAATGATTTAGTAGTCTTTTTAACCATTTTAGATTTACTGATACATACCTTGATAAACATATGGCTGATTTAAAGCAGAAAACTAAGAGTGGCTGCGTAAAAGTTATTATATAGTTTCTTCTGAATGTCAGGAAGGTTTAGCAGGGATTTACAGAAATTCTATCCTAGTAGTCATCAGAGCAAAGCACTGTTTTACCAAGACATCGGCTCCCTCTGTACAACCATATGCGTTTGTAAAAGGCAGTGCTAAATTCTGATGTGAGTTATTTGCTTCATACTTGTAGGTATACCACTAGTAGATGTAGGGCAACACAGCTAAACAGTGCTAATAAATAAATATGAGATGTTTGGTTTTTAAGCAGAGTTCTTCATAGTCAGATTTAAGATGTGTGACTCCATGTGGAACCACAATTGGACGTTGCGGTCTGGGTAGCTCTTTGGCTTATTTATTCTAGTGAAAAAAATATTTTATGAAAGCTGGTTTCCGCAGCCCTTCCCTCCGTGGAATTCTGCAGGGAACAAAACAAGTACATAAATCCAGGTTACTTCAACAGATACGTTATCATTCAGAGTGGGGCCAGTAGGGCTCGTCTGCTCACGGGTGAACAGCATTTGGCTGAAGAACATGAATGGAAGCTGTTGTGTAGGCTGTTGATGAGGAAGGGTGTTACAATGGAGCTGTTGTGCTGTTCTCCAAGGAAGAGTTTCCTGCATCTGAGTCCCTTGAAATGACTGGTTTTCTTAAGGGGCTGTTTAGTGTTCTTACACAAATTCCTCTGGTATTTTATGAGTAGATACTGCAAAATCATAAAATGTTATTGAGGTTAGAGCTGTATGTTGGGTGAAATAAAGAAACATTCTTGTTCCTGGCTATTTCTCTAGCAAGGCCACTGGTTTTCTTCTCTCATGAGCAATTAGAAGTTTTCACTCTTACAACTTGCAATTTTGGTGTGAAAAAAAGTTAAGAATTATTCTACATTATATGGTAATGTGATTAGAATATAAAGAAATTAATTGGCGTTACAATCATTAGCTGTTTCTTACAGAAAGCAATCACAATGTTATCTGTATTTATATGTGACTCACTCCATCACCATCTTTTTTCCAGTATAACTCTTTAATGGAGTGAGATCCGGCAAACAGAGAAGCGAGGCTCAATAATTAGTTTTGTGAAAACAGGTATATGGATTACAGACAGGAAAGTACCTGTGCTAAAGGGGAGGCTTTGCAGCCTATATATTTTTAGATGTCTAGAAATCTATATGTGGTATTCTTTGAGGAGCTTTTCATAAAGGAGTTGGTCATCATGAAAGCAAGCATGCTTTCCTTTAGATTTGTCTTGTTTTTTGATGTTTCTAAAAATACTTTTCTTATTTTCTGACCTTCTGGGAATCCTTTTGGAAAAGAACTGGATCTTACAGACAGTAAATCATAATGCACTGCAAAAAGCATGTTTTGGTTTGGCAGTACGGGTGTAGCTGGGTGGGATGTTCAAATCTAGAAGCTGTAATTTAAGAGACTGAATACTTGTTTAAACTTTTTTTATTGTTATGAAATTGTCAAAGGTCCAATTTTTCATTTTCTGAACAACCTATTCCACTACTCCTATTTTAGGAAGGCTATAGGGATGGAATTGAGGCTGCGAAAGAACTTGCACTCCAGGAAGGTTTTAATCAAGGCTACAGACATGGTGCTGAGCTGATGGTTACATGTGGCCGGTTCAGAGGAACCCTGAAGTAGGTTACAAACTCCTTAAGGTAGTGTGTGTGTGGAGAGTGTGTGCGGAGGGACCATGCATGCAGTTTTTTGTTTGTTTTAATTAAAAAAAAAAAAAAGTCCATTTTGAATCTGCCCAAAGTGAGCAACCTGAGAATTCTCACATCTTGAATATAGGGAATTGCCTACCTGGGTGTAGAGTGATCATTCTTAAAAATCATCCTTCAGTTGCTCTTCCAAAATTATCTGAATCTACTTCTTTAAGTTTACTATTCAGTTCTACTGCTTGAATTTCCCAGAAAATGTGAATGAAACGTATACATTTATGTAGTATAGAAATCTTGTTGCATTGCTACCTCCCTTCAACAACTGGAGGTCTGTGTGGGTACATGTAATCACTTTTGTTGTTGTTGTTCTTCACTTTTCAGTGCTCTCTTATCCTGGTGTCACTTTAATGGATGTGATTCTGCTTTAAGTAAGATAAATAATCTTCTTGATGTGGTTGGAAAGCATGAAGAAGATGTGCTTAAGTATCTGAATTCTATTGAACAGCCACATGTCGGACACATTTTAGAGTCTGTTCAGGACATGGACCTTAATCACACAGCTCCAGCTGGGACAGAGTACAGTGAAGTTATAGCTGGAAAACATGAAGATGTTGGCAGCTTTGGTGAAAACACTTGTAGAAATAATGGTGAGGTTGGTTGCTTGCAGTCTGAGTGCAGCAAGGCAAAACTCTGCACAGATCCTGAAAGGTCAACCCTTGCTTGGGTTAAAGAACAGACTATTTGGCTGGTAGAGCAACTGGGCTTATCACTGGATATACTCCATCATGTCCAGCAACTGGAACATTAGTTTTTCTGTCTTGTGGTTTTTAAAATTATCTCAACTGGATTTGATTCTCAGTTTGTGGACCATATGCAGGCTGATGCATGGCTGTGACTCTCTCTAGTCACTTCATAAAATACAGGAATTTTTCACCTTTTATCAAATTCGTCCTCTCATCTTTTGTAACCATTGTGCAGTGCACTTTCACAGTTAATTATTTTTTTCCTCCTCATACAGTTATATTTATTTCATTTTTGCTGAAAACACACCATTCTCTTCAAATGCAGAATTACTGACAATTCCATTGGTTTACTGTTAGACCATCTACTCTTACCCTGTTAGACCACACTGAACATGTTTCCAGTCTAATGAACTTCCTTGTGTTATTTTTGTATTTATTTTGCCAGTTGCTCTAGCCTGACCTCTCTCTCCCTCATTCCCATACTGTTTTTCCAACCTTTCCCAGGGTTATTCACCTTCTTGTAGAAACACGTTGTCAGCCACAGATGCATATTTCTGACAACTCTGTATTTATGTGCCAACGTTCTATATTTGACTCCTTTTCCTGTTGCTTGCCTTAACTGTAGCTGCAAATTGCTCTGGCCAGGAAGTCTTTTCTTTGTGAATGCCTCTCTGCTTTACACTAATTAAACTGATTTACAGTAAGTGAGGAGTTTACTTGTTCTAAGTTGCTTTCCTTCATGTCTGAGACAAAGCAGGTCTAGACAGAGACAAACTTAAATTTTGAACAGCTGACTTTACATAGAAAAAAAAAATTAAAACACAAAACAGAAGTCCACAATACTTTGAGGCCAAAAAAATGCTAAGGTAAAAATTACTTGATTTTCAGAGACTTGAGTTTACAACTTTCTTACTTAAGACTATTATCTTGCCATAGAGGTAATAAGTAAGTAAGTTTGGCTGCCATTCAGTACCACTTCTGCATTAGGGGAAAACAGAATTGCAGTTAAGAGTCTGTTATGGAACCTGTTTCTGAAATAGTGGACAAAATAGGGCTGTCTGTATTAATTACGTATGTACAAAATTGTTCAAACAACTTTCTTTTTCTCAATTTATTTAGCATAATGCTGACACGTATAAACATTACTTTTCTACAGGTGCATGTGTTATGTTATAGCCTGTATCACGTATGTTAGACAGAAATTTCTTCCATACTATGGTAGAATATGGTGCAGACAAAAATAAAGGTTACTAGAACAGTGTTAGACTTTCCAAATTTGGAAGTTTAAAAATGCAAATTCAAGAGTATTACTTCTATGTGTTTAATAGTGTGCAAAGAGGAAACTCCATTCACAAATTACTAAGTAGACAGTGAGCTTGCCAAGTTCTCTCCAACTACTTCTGCAAAAGCAATCTACGCCAGGGAAAATATTGCTTTCTTGTTTGATTATCAAACAATAGGTTGTGTGGCTTACTTATTTATCATAACAGCTTCTGTACTAGCTGTGGAATTACTTTCCTCCACTGTGCACAAAGTTTCTGTGCTTACTGTGGTACTACTTTTTTCTGCGTTATCGCGCAGAGTTTCCAGTTCGGCTGTGGAGAGATTTTCTTTGGGGCTGTCTGTAGTACTTGGCTTATCTATCAAATCTTGCTGACCAGCCACAGAAAGACTTTCTTCAAGACTATTAGAATCCATAATTTGCTCATTTGGTGGTTCAGGTTTTTGTTTCATGTCTACTTCCACATCTTGTGTTTCACTATCAGCTTTCACCTTGGCAGCGTTCCTGAAAATAGCTCTCATGACAACTGGGACTGACATGCAACTGAAAGAAGAAATGAAACATTAGTCACTACTATAGACTTCATCCATTCTTCAACGTACTACTTTTTTTAGACTGTGGCTGACACCTGAATGATAGGTGTAGTGGAAAACAGCACTACCTCTTTGCATCCTTTTGCCTTGTACAACCTAATAGGTGTTACATTGTAACTACAGTATAACTACATGTCCTATACCAGAAACATGTATTGACACAGCAAAGTCAAGTGCTGGATCTTTTGAGTTTAGCAGTGCAAAGAAGCTTTGATAGAAAGAGTGGGAGGGTTTGGTTAAAAAAAAAAAAAGTCATAAGGGTGCTTTTAATGAAAACCTAAACTAATAATATCAAAATATATTAATTCTTGCTGAGTTTTATAATTGTAACTTTCATGTTTTGTATAAGACAGGTACAGAGCATATCTTCTCTAAAACACTATCTAGACTAGAGGAGTTTTTTTCCACTGTAACAGTAGTTACCTGGTTCTGGGAATAGTATCCTCTGACTTAAGACAGGGCAGGCTAATTAAACAGGTCAAAATCCAGCCTGCAGTGACCTTGCTGTCACCAAATAGATAATAGTTGTGTACTAGCTTATGCCTAATGAATTAGGCTCTCAGCCCTTTCTCTAGCATATGTTCATATATCACAGCAACTTGCCTCTCTTGGAATTTGTTTCAGAAAACAAGCCAGAGACAGTGTTGTAGATGTGCTGTATACGCGTGTATTGGCTTTGTGTGGCAAGGTTTTTGGTAGCAGGGGGAGGTTACGGGGGTGGCTTCTGTGAGAAGCTGCTGGAAGCTTCCCCTGTGTCCAACAGAGCCAACACCAGCTGGCTCCAAGACGGGCCGTCCAAGGCCGAGCCAATCAGTGACAGTGGTAGTGCCTCTGAGATAACAGAATTAAGAAGGAAAAAGAAGTTGCTGGGGCACAGAAACAGCAGCCAGAGAGAGAGTGAGAGCATGTAAGAGAAACAGCTCTGCAGACACCAAGGTCAGTGAAGAAGGAGGGGGAGGAGATGCTCCAGGTGCTGGAGCAGAGATCCCCTGCAGCCCCTGGTGAAGACCATGGTGAGGCAGGCTGTCCCCCTGCAGCCCATGGAGGTCCATGGTGGAGCAGATGTCCACCTGCAGCCTGTGGAGGACCCCACGCCGGAGCAGGTGGGTGCCCAAAGGAGGCTGTGACCCCGTGGGAGGCCCGTGCTGGAGCAGGCTCCTGGCAGGACGTGCAGATCTGTGGAGAGAGGAGCCCACGGAGCAGGTTTTCTGGCAGGACTTGTCACCCCATGGGGGACCCACGCTGGAGCAGTGTGCTCCTGAAGGACCGCAGGCCGCGGGAGGGACCCATGCTGGAGCAATTCGTGAAGAACTGCAGCCCGTGGGAAGGACCCACATTGGGGAAGTTCATGGAGGACTGTCTCCCATGGGAGGGACCCCATGCTGGAGCAAGGGAAGAGTGTGATGAGTCCTCCCCCTGAGGAGGATGAAGCAGCAGAAATAACGTGTGATGAACTGACCGTATTCCCCATCCCCCTGCACCGCTGGGAGGGGGGTTAGGTAGAGAATTCAGGAGTGAAGTTGTGCCTGGGAATGAAGGGAGGGGTGGAGGGAAGGTGTTTTGAGATTTGGTTTTATTTCTCATTACCCTACTCTGGTTGATTGATTGGTAATAAATTGAGTTCATTTTCCCCAAACTGAGTCTGTTTTGCCTGTGACAGTAATTGGTGAGTGATCTCTCCTGTCCTTATCTTGACCCATGAGCCCTTTGTTATATTTTTTTCTCTCCCCTGTTCAGCTGAGGAGGGGGGAGTGATAGAACAGCTTTGGTGGGCACCTGGCCTCCAGCCAGGGTCAGCCCACCACAACACCTCACTTTCTGAAAAGAAGCACTGATTTGTATTAGGTAGGTGCAGAAAGAGTCCTTTCCGTGCTATTCTAAGTTATACCAGTCATGAGACTGTCATCAGCTAGAGTCTTCAGAATAGCATATTTACAAAGGAAAAAAGCATCTTTATAAAAGGTGAAACTCTCTTCATTCAAAAGTGTTTCCCTGCCCCACATGCTTTCTACTAGAAACACTTTCCATCCCTATTAATGCTTAAAATTTTTGAAGGAGATACTTAAGACACTGAAGTAACTTATTCTCACTATTATAACTTTTTACTAAAGTGAAGTTTTCTGGTTGCTGAGTTTATGGCATTATGAATGCATATGATATTTCCATTAAATGGACATCTGAGGTTCATTCCAACTTAGGAAATAAAATGAAACTACTTACCGCTTCACAGCTCTTGCTATAAAGTCATCACTAGAATTTAGAGTTGGATCTTGAGGATTTAAATGAAGGCGACATTGGACTTCTCTGGAGGTTATAACATCAATTAGCACTAAGAAAGAACAGAATATAAGTATTTCAAAATAAACATTTTTATAAACATTGAAAACAATTCTTTCACTTTGATGCTTCAAGAGAGGTAAGACTGAAGTCAATGGGAAGGGGCTTGCAGCAATGCTCTTGCATAAGACTTGCTTTTTCCTAATATGCTTAAATCAGAAATAGTAGAAGTTACAATTTATTAACTAACTGCAGGCCAAGACAGAATAGGATTTGAGTATTTGCATTCACTTTGTTTTATGCTGAATACAGAACACTTCTTAGTAAGCAGTTTATACACAAGTGCTACTTCATGTTTTTCATGGGTTGCACACCATTGAGAGTAGCCCTTGGAAGGTATTTGTAACCGAGAAGTGTAGTGCAAGAGCCTAGATAGAACCAAGTACCTTGTCAGCCCAATAAAGAGGACAGTATCAATTATTCCACACATACCACAGGCTAAATTCTCTTTCACAGGATGAAGGAAAAAGACAGAAAAGCTGGTGTTCTTGTGTGGTACCACTTCAAAGTAAAGCAGTTCTGAATCATCTAGAAATAAAATTACTATTTAGTGATATCCACCCATTGAACCTGGACTCTGGCTGAATCACATACCAGAATTTAAAGAATACTGATGCAGTAGAATCTAATTATTCATTACTTTGGCAATGTAATTTATGCTTATAGAAGTGTCAGGCCTAGGAGATTTTTTTTTTAAATATTCAACAGAGTGTAATACTGGAATTAAGGATTTTTTTTTTCATTTAAAATACTCCACAAGTAATGACAATTTTGGCAAGGGAGCAGTAAATCTGTTAACACCCTGCTTAGAAGCTAGTTTCTCAGTAATACTCTGTTGTTACTTTCAACCACATGATTTACCTTCATTTATATGCTTCTCAGAGACACAGGTGCTAATAAGGCTGTTATATGCCACTTGATGTCGAAGAATCTCTATTACACCAGGCACACACTTCGGATGGCTAAATGGGATTTTACTGATGAAGGCTCCTGCTAAATCTGATTTTTCTGAGCCCTTGTTTATGAAGTAACAGTGCTTTGGGCAATCTGGAAGAGACTGAACAAGTATGGTGATATTTCAAGCACTGAAAACAAGAAAGTAAAGCTTGATGTTATCAGGCAACTGCACAATCTGACAGCAAAAATAATTTTGGAAGACAGACTTCTAGCATGTCCATCATGTCTGTCTGCATTTCGGTAGAAGTATAATCCTTAGAGGAAGGTACAAGGTCCACTCTCCCTCCCAAATGCATCCAAATTAGGCAAATATACCCGGAGCCAAGTGGCCGGGTGTTCAAGCGCCACCAATTCTTCCAACTACTCTTCAGAGCCTCATAGGCTATAGAAATGTTAACAACCAAGATCTTCTCTCAGAAGAATACCATAGTATTGCTGCTTGATGGTTGTACAAATAGGATAGCAGTTTTGTCTGAAATCTCTTCAGGGTGTCATATGGTGTTCCTCCCTCTATCACTACTGCTTTCTTTGGAGGAGCATGTTTGGCTAGAATATCTCCCGATGATTCATTTGAAGAGGAGGAAAAGAGGAGATAGTAAGAAAAATTTGCCACCTGTCCATGTTGACAGTGATTCTATGACAAAATTAGAAGTGCAATATTGTGTTATCTACTTCAGGATGCCAAATGGGAACTGTCACCTTAAGAACAGGGCAGGGCAGTTAATTAGCAGGGTCTACATTAAGAAAAGCTGAAGAGCAGAATAAAAGAGCTTTTCCTCGTGTGATCATGGAGCAAAAGGTTTCCCCTACATTCCTTTCAAGGTTAGAATTCAATTTAGTAATTTATTTCTAGAAATAAAATCTTTAAACTCAGAAGCAAAACAATCTCCCAGCAAGTACTAATATTTTAGGGAATTGCTGAAGAGTTACAGAGCCTTTCACATGTATCTAACAGAAGTGAAAAATTCATCCCATCTTATGGGTTTTACACAGAAAAGCTTAGCTAAAGCATATTTTAGCATGGTGTAAACTTACTGCTACCTTCTGTACCACCACCTCATATTCCAAGAACTATGTAGGTAATAGGTGTTGCTAACACTGCTAGTAGAAGAGAAAGAAGTGCCCTATTCTTTTGTTTTGAATGAATTGCAAAATTAATGTTTCCTAGCAAAAAAAAAAAGTAGATATTTGAAGTTTGTCTTGTAGTTGCCCTGTATGTAAGTCTGGCAGAAAGCATCTTAGCCACCATTTTCTATTCTAAAACTTCTCCTCTACATCTAATGTAGCCTAAATTAAAAATTGTTAATAAAACAGTTACTAAAAGGGAAGCCATCTACAGTTAAACAACCATGGCTCTAGATAGTAATTGACATCACTGTTGTAACACTTTACGCTTTTCTACCTGCCAGTCCCTTTAAAAGGAATCAGTATTCCTAGTGTTACCTAATCAACAAAACTTTTTTGTTAAAACAGCGTGATATGCGATGTGACATGCAGCATGATAAAAAGACCTTCAAAAATCTAGGTAAGTACCATCTCGGGACTTGCTTCTCACACCAGCCAATAAGTTTCCTTCTTTTTAAGGCATTAATGATAAAGTTCTGAGCAATTTTTAGAAGAGTAAATATTTGGGTTACACACTAATTAGTACGACTTCAGCAGCCATGCACACAGTGTTTCATTAATGAGGATGAGAAGCGCACTTACTTGAAAGGGTCTTATATTGCTTCGTAAATAACTTGAACTATTTCCTAAAGACCATTTAAATACTGTTGGGATTCTGGGAAGTCTGTGTTGCTTGCTTATGGGGAAATGTAATTCAGTATATATCTTGCACAAGGGCAGAGTGTGTGTCAAATGCACATTATACTCACCACAAAGAAACAGGATTTTTGTGTAGACAAGTCTTCACTGCATTTTTCTTTAAGGGTAGACTGAACAATCAGATCATATAGAGGAGCTAGTTTCAAGCCAGTAATCTGAATTCCTGAAACCAGGTGATTTGTTTTTATTAGCGTTTAGGTTATGACTGTACATGAAAGCTAATATTAATAACAAAACCAATGTTTTGAAAAGACAAAAACAATCTCCTTTCTTATTCCTTTTTTTACTAATGGGAATTTGAGGTAGAGTGTTTAACAGCTTTGCCTGTAATTGTCATATCTTTCTTAGAACTTTTGTGTTTTGCACTGGTTGCTAAAATGTTACACTTGGGTTGATAGAACAGAACACGTTCTGCCCCAGAAACGAGTTTTTCCTCTTACAACATTAACACAGGGAAATAAAAAGCAAATAAGACATGCATAGTCACAGAAGTACTTAGTCTTAAAAACAATTATAACATGCCTGTGAGCCTCTGTATCTCTTCAATACTGGATGAGGACATAGGAAT